CGCCACACAATGCCCACATATGAAAAAACATAAGGTTTCGAGGGTAATGTAATAGCTAAACACCCTTAAAAAGGGAGGGAGGGGCTGCTTTTACAAATCAGACTGAAACAGGTGTGGGAGAAAGATACAGAGACGAAAGAAAGCCCAGGCCAGACAGTTTGGTGAAAGCTATGGGGCTGCAAGGATCTAATCCTACCCAGACCCGCTTCGTCTGTCTTCAAGCAGCGGCACCTCATAACACTCAAGTGTGTCTTACACTGTGTGTGCATGTCAGAGGAGGCCTGCATCATGTTCCAGCTCAGAAAGATTAAAAAAAAAAAAAAAAAAAAAGTTTGAGATTCTGCAGAGTCTGCAAGGTCTCCCCTTTACAACTATGGTGCAGTGAGCGCGCCTGTGCACAAGTGTTAGAGTGTGTGCAGGCGCAGGTGTGCGGTTTGTCTAAACCTCCTGCCACATGTTGTTTTCTTTTTTTGTTTTGTTTTTTTTAACCAGGTGACCCAGCGGACAGCAATACAAGGTGACTGAGAACCGTGACTGAGAACCCATCGACTTCCACGTCTCTAGCGTAGAAGGGAGCGCAACTTTTCCACATGTTGCAGGACATGAACAAGCTCGAAAAACGTCAGTCTGTTTATAAACCGGCTACAGTTTCTTCTTGACTTTGCGTACTTCGAATCCAGCTCATTCCTCAGCAACGTCGTGGCTTAAAACAAAGCACCCTGCTGCACGCAAACAGCAGGTCTCCCTAAACGAAGCTGTCTTTCTCTTAACCTTCCTTCCCTCCCACACTGTCTCCTCTCTTACAGCCTGCGACAAAACAGTAAACATGTCAACTGACATTTTTATCAACAGAAAACGTTGAAAAACAACTGCAACAGCATGTCAGCTACTGTTTCAAAAAGAAAAAAAAACCTGCCACACCGTGAACAGGTAGCTATCAAATCTTCAGCGGATGTACAATTATTGTCTGATGGCTGTCAAAACACGGTGCCTCCGAGGTGAGTCGCAACTAAAGACACGGTAAGATTTCAGAACGGATGAATGGAGAATGAAATCTAAAAATATTTAGCAAAGCAGCGTTTATGACAACAGAAGGGCTTCAAAAGTAGGTTGAAAAAAGTAAAAAGTTATGTACAAAAACAGAAAAAGTATGTCAAATTCAAACGGCAACATTTTTGGTGAATACGCTTTGTGTTTTATGAGTTAAACTGAGCGAGGGCGTAGACTTTGTTCATTTTGGTTTTTTGTTGCTCATAGAAAGTGTCCCCGTCACAGGGCTTCAGAGTTCAGCTGATTGTGAGAGATTCTTGCAAAGTCAATGCTCTCTTTATTATATTGTCTGTAATTAGGACCGAGTTGGAGCGAACGTAATCTAAATCTGACCGGAACGTCGGATTGAACCGGACACATTTTTGCCTTAATTTGGACTGAGCTTCTGAAAAAAACGAACAAGAATTGGGCCTGCTTATTTTAAAAATGTCCTGAGAAGAAGTAAATTTTGTTGGTACTGTTTAAATAAATATAATCAATTTTCAGTTTTATTTTCTACAAGATGTGACGTGATTGTTTTCTTCCTGAATCTGTCATTAGTTTTGAGACATGCTTTCATGTCTCCTTCATGTTGAAAGCCTAAATCCTATTAATCTACAGCATAAATATTATTGGGTTATCAGGAGCTCTTGCGTGTTTTGCACATACAACACAGACTCACCCCCAAATGATTTCTACTTATAAATACCCAGAACACAAGTGCAGCTGTAAACCTAACCTTACAAATTGATTTGTATCATTGCCTCCTCTTATTCTTGTTTTTTTTTTTTTTTTTTTTTTTCCCTTGTCTTCAAAGCGTGCTCTGAACTAAGGGCCAAACAACGAGTCCAGAAAGCAGCCCATCGGCAAACAAACTGAGAGAGAGGACGACTAAGTTTGGGGAGCAGTGGGAATGAGCGAAAAAAAAAAACGAAAGAAAGAAAGAAAAGGGGGCATGTTTACCTCTGTTCTCTTGGGGCACTGCTTCGGGGTTGAGAGGGGGTTTCACCAGAGGAGGAGCAGGAGGAGGGGTAAATCTGTCTGAGAGGGAAGGGGGAGTTTTGGCGAACACTTTGGGAGAGGTGAAATAAAAGACAAACGTGGGGGAAGCGAAGGTTGTCCAGTCCTCATCAACAAGTCTTTGGTTGGTTCTGAGGAAAATCTGGACATTTCACTCCACTTTTAAGAAAATGTCATCTGACTTTCTTGATTTCTGGTCTTCAGTGCTGCATGTTGGTCAGCAATTTATATCTTTTTAAAGTGATTAATAAACACAGTAGTGTGGGAAGTGTGAGATGTTTCTTGACATTCTTGTCTGTAAGGAAAGAAGTAAGAATCAAACGATTTAAACAAAAACATTGGGAAAAACTGCTTTTGATATCCCCCAAAACTGTGGAATAACACAAAAGGCTAAGACAAATCACACCACAAAAGACTGATAATTTAAACAAGACTGGGAAATTAGAGGTGATTTATGTTTCTAGTTGAGACTGAAAATGTATTTTATTTGTATATAACTTTGTTATTCTTTTTTTTTTACACTACGTTCAATAAAGTGAAACCAGACCAAACTTGTCAGACGGTGATAAATGTTGACACCTAGTAAAGGTATGACCAAAGAAAACCCTTCAGCACTTCAGCGTGTTTTTTTCTTCCTTCAAGACGACTGATGGGATTTGATTTTATGCTTTTGTGTAGTTTTGTATTTTCATGCAAAAAAATCTTACTGCACTTGAATGTCTTTATTTTATTACATGTTAAGTTTTATAGTTAACCTTTCTAAGTATAAAAGTTCATTTTTCAAACCTGCTAAATTCTTCCACCATACTGTTTCTGCAGCTTCTTAAGAGAAAAAAATATATAAAATAAAGACAATAACAATATTAAAAAAGAATTTACAAACCTTTTTCTCTTTTTTGAACAAAGAGTAACAAGGCGTTACCTCTCCATGGCTTGTTGCTCACACACTGCCAGGCAGCTGGCTGAAAAGGACCTGATACACTGGTTTTCTGTTATGTATCTTCATACATCAGCAGGTGAAGGTTTTGGGGTTAAATAAGTAGAAAAAGTGTTTTGTGTTTTAATAAAGGTCATCATACGACACATAACTAAAGAGGGTCATGTTTGAATTAATACTTCTCACTTTACTTTTTCAATAAAAAGACTCATTAACTTAATGGAGCAAAAGCAATATCCAAGAAAACCCCTCAACCAAACCTCTCTAAACTATGCTCATTTTTACCCCTTGAATTAGCCCACACACACGCGCACGCACACACACACATTGAGAAAGACCAAAGGGCAATACCAACAAAGAGAGGGGGCAGCAGAGGAGCCAGAGAGGCAAAGAAAAGGAGAAGAAGGAAAATGTACGCTTGACTAATTCTTGTATTCATACAGAGCTCCTTTCACCTCCCTATCCTTTAACTGTGTGTGCGTGTGTGACAGAGAAAGAGAGTGAGAGAGAAAGAAAAAACAGAAAGAGGGAGAGAAAAAGAGAGAGAGAGAGAAATCTGGCACACTCTAACCTTGACATTTTACCATCATGGGGGAGATGAATGAAAATGACCACAGAGCACTTAAGAGGGGGCAAGACTGGGGGAGGGTAAGCACAACAGATGCTGTCTATCTGTCTGTCTATCTATCCATCTATCAATCTATCTATCTAAACTATAGGAGTCTGGCCTTGAGCTCTTTGCTAGATTGATGCTGTTTTCTTTCAATCATGGAGCCGTGTGGGATGCGCTCACTCTCTGCTGACTGCGTGCATAAACAAAAACACTCTGGCTGTTCTTGGAGTGGAAAAAGCATGGCAGAGTCACCGTGTCTCCACCTGCCTCATTTCCCTTCTGCTGCTCGCCGACGTCGACTTATTAGTGGAAACTTCTCATAAACTCGTCGCCGACTTCTGCAAACAAACACTTCTTTTTGTCTTTCAAAATATTGACACAAAATGTTGCTTGCCAGCTGATCCCAGCTCATAAACAAACACGGGGCCCAATTCGAACCCCCGGGCTGTGGAGCAGAGGCAGTTCCTCTGCTGACATCTGGAGTCCGTTTCGCTCATATTAGCATTGAATATTAGAAACTGTTTTTCATCCCCTTGAATGACTACACATTTACACATCGTTTGGGGGTTGGCATCAAATCAAACAATTCCTCAGAGGCTCCACCTTGAGCTTGAAGATGACAGCAAATTTTCCGTAATCTGAAATAACAAACTAAGTCAATATTTCCTAAAGTCAAATCCAAATTTAACATTAATTGTAAACAGGTCTGTGAGAAACTAATTGTCGCCTCACAAGTTCCTCCTGGTTTTGCTTATTTTGTTTGCTTTTTTTGTCACATTTAGAAGTTTCTGATCATCGAAAGTAATTTCACAATATGAGTGAGTACAAAAAAAACAGTTCTTAAAGGATTATTTTTATTCATCATCAATTAAGAAATCATATTTAGCAGCAGAAACAAAATATGTAAATTGCAAGCCCTTGAAACAGCCTAGATTACATCATTGACCCATCAACCACACATCTTTGGCCTGGAAATGGAAAAAGTGGGGCCTCGTGTGAACTACAAGCACTGAGTGATTAAAAGCGTTGACGCACTTTTATATCGTCATTAAGTCAAACTCTGAGGATTCTGCTTCGCCGCAGTGAGCCATGATGTGAAGTCGATTAGCTAACATTAGCTAACATCAGCTCAAAGACCATTTTCCCCCTTTTTCCACATATTTATTTGTGAGAATAAAGGACAAGTATTTTCTCATTATGTAAACACACATATCAGGCAATATCGGCAATGAATGAGAATCCAAAATACACTGTTTGCAAAATATTGTTAACGTAAGCGTAAGGTAACGTCAGAAATAGCTACTCTTGGCTAATGCTAACGCTACCGTTCAACGTTAGCTTCTGCTACATGACAAATCAGAGCAACAACACAAAACACACAGAACATTATTTTGTACTTACGTCACTATTATCTGCAGATTTGAGATGAGCAGAACCTCCTAAGTATTTTTGGTAAATCTTCCTGTATAATGTTGATAGTTTTCAAAGGACTCCTTCCTTGGCTGACAAACTACAACTTTCTTTGGCAACATTTCAGACACATTGAAAGAAAGGATTAAATTAAGCTGTTTTACCGTAACCGGGAGAAAATTTATGGACATATGTTCTGCATTGCAGCAGACAACGAAACATTTTTCCACTTCCTGCGGCCATTGGCTTCGGGTTGCCAGGTAACATATTGTGACGCAACAATTTAGAGATATTTGAAAAAAGTTGTTTTGTAGACACCAGCAAAAAAAAAATGGTTTGTTTGTTTGATTGAACTGTATAAACATGCAAAGGGTGAATTTTAGTGACAGAGGGTCTTTAAAGTACTTGAGACAAACAGCAAAACCACTACTGAAAAAAGAGAACAGGAAAATATTAAGTGGAGTGATCAGACAAAAGGGGAACTTTTTAGAAGCTCTTACATCACTTTCAATTCAGCATAAATATACCGCAGCATTTCAGAAAAAGGACATCCACCTTACTGTCAAACACTAGACAGAGGCCACATCACATTCATACCCCGAGCAAATAAAAAGGCCATGAAAAATTCAAAGTCTGACAAAAGTATAAAGAAAAATAGAAACGTATAAAATGTTTCCATTCAATGTATTTTACAGGAATTGTAAGGAGCGTCAATTTGAAAGATGTAGGATGTGTATGTTGGATTTTTTAGTACTCAATAAATAAACTAATTAAAACATGCATTTGTGTGTGGGGGGGTGGGTGCGTGCATATATATATATATATATATATATATATATATATATATATATATATATATATATATATATACACACACACATATATATATATATATATATATATATATATATATATATATATATATATATATATATATATATATATATATATGTGTGTGTGTGTGTGTGTTTTTGTTTTGTTTTGGGGTTTTTTGTAATAATTTTTCATTTTCTCCGGTTCTAATCCAATGACTCAGGGTCCCGGTGCTGATCTCCGCCATTTTTGTTCTTTGGTTTCAATGTATTATGGAGTATTTCATTGTATAATAATTGTAAAAAAAATAATAATAATAAGCGATAGGCTTCACGGATTTTGCCGATAGCGGGTTGTATTTGGAACGTAACCCCGCGAAAAGCGAGGGTTCGAGTGTATATACGTAAATATGAATACTCATATACATACATATCCTTGTGGTCCTCCCTCCGACTCCTCACCTCCTAGTGGTACTAGTGGTCCTCCCTCTGGATCCTCGCCTCCTAGTGGTCCTCCCTCTGGGTCCTCGCCTCCTTGTGGTCTTCCCTCCGAGTCTTCCTGGTGGTCCTCCCTGTCCCATAAATGTTTGGTCTTCTGGATTTTTGGCTCCTCTGCAAAGACACCTTTATCGTCTTCCGGAGGAGTGGGCTGGAGAGACTATCACATCAAACGTTACAATTTGATGATTTCTCGTATACATAAATGAAACCGTTTCTGCTGATGTCTTCACTGCAGTTGTTAAAGTCGACAGTAGAGACATTCTGGTTTTCTGCCTTCCTTATTTGTCCCCCAGTCGTTAAATATGTATAGAAGTGGGTCAGCTCTGATCTCCCACAGACAACAGACGACAGGTGGTACCTTTCAGTACCACCTTCGCATTTGGCCGGCACATCTATGACCTGACTGGAAACTATTCTGTGTTTCCTGGTCAGCCTGTGGAGAAAAACCACTAGGACCTCATTGTTGGTAAGGCAGTGCTTTCTCTCCAAGGCCGACCCGCACACTGAACAACGGAGTTTTCCCCGCATATCCAACCAGTAATACACGAGAGTGGATATACTGGTTGGAAATCTCACCGGTGGAAGGGAGAGCAGGGAGCCGTTGTTTAGCAGCTCAAGAAACACAGTACCACAGACAGAACAAGAGTTGTTGTTGTACAACTCCCTATCTGTGGCACTGCCGAAAGAGTCCAGCCAGACCATCGATGACTCCAGCAGACATTTGACGTCAAAGTCCCTTCCCATGTCCGATGGCTGGTACCTCTCCCTCAGCTCCATCAAAACAGGGGAAAGGTCCTCCTGACTAAAATGTCTGCCGGGTGATGGACAGCAGACATGATGAGACTCGCCCAACTGGGGATGGACGAAGCCTCCAGAAAGTCCCTTTCCTGAGCGAGACACCTCCGTGTGACGCTCAGGTTCAGGACGCTCTGGAGAGCAGCGTCCACCCAGCTGTAGCAGAGTCCATCCTCTGCTAGTCCATTGCCTACCAATGCCGTCTTCTGAGTCCCTGGGAACTCTGAGCCGACACCATCTTCTTTTTTCATGTCTGAGGGACAATCGATCTCAAGCCCAACAGTTATCCTTGCAGTATGTCTGTGAGCCAAAATACCGTCCTCGTCCTGGGAACTTCTTAAAGGAAACGTCCTTGTGTAAGATGTGCGGAGAGGAGTATTGATCGGAAGGGCCAGAGATGGGACCAACGAAACCAAAGCTCTCTCTGGCTGAAGTCTCTCTGTGACTTCAGCCACAGCTTTGGCCGCGACGTCAGCCGCAGACAAGTCTTCCCCAGCCGGGTGAGACTTTTCTGCGACTGGCCCTTCGCCCTCATGTCGTTCCGCCGTCTCTGAACAAACTTCCCCCGCCGGGTCAGTTTGTTCAGAGACAGTTGGACTCCCCTCAGGACTGTCTCGCACAGAGTCCGTCACACCCATGTCTGTGGTCCCACAGACATCGGTTGTTTTCTCTGAGCAAACCTCCCCAGCCGGGAAGGTTTGCTAAGAGATAGTGGTGTCTGTATGGACGGTCCTTGTTGGGTCTGAGGTCGCGGTCTCACCCACACCCGTTGGTTTTGCAGGACAAACCTCCCCCTCCGGGTTGGTTTGTTCTGTGGAAGTGGGTGTAGGACCCTTCCAAACCAAATCCTCCTCTCCACGTTGATCCATGTTTTCTTCAGGGTGCTTCCTTTCTTCAGGGTCCTTCCTTTCTTCATGGTCCTTCCTTTCTTCAGGGTCCTCCCTTTCTTCAGGGTCCTTCCTTTCCTCATGGTCCTTCCTTTCTTCAGGGTCCTTCCTTTCTTCAGGGTCCTTCCGTTCTTCATGGTCCTTCCTTTCTTCAGGGTCCTTCCTTTCTTCATGGTCCTTCCTTTCTTCAGGGTCCTTCCTTTCTTCAGGGTCCTTCCTTTCTTCAGGGTCCTTCCGTTCTTCATGGTCCTTCCTTTCTTCATGGTCCTTCCTTTCTTCATGGTCCTTCCTTTCTTCAGGGTCCTTCCGTTCTTCATGGTCCTTCCTTCCTTCATGGTCCTTCCTTTCTTCAGGGTCCTTCCTTTCTTCATGGTCCTTCCTTTCTTCAGGGTCCTTCCTTTCTTCAGGGTCCTTCCTTTCTTCAGGGTCCTTCCGTTCTTCATGGTCCTTCCTTTCTTCATGGTCCTTCCTTTCTTCAGGGTCCTTCCGTTCTTCAGGGTCCTTCCTTTCTTCATGGTCCTTCCTTTCTTCAGGGTCCTTCCTTTCTTCAGGGTCCTTCCTTTCTTCATGGTCCTTCCTTTCTTCAGGGTCCTTCCGTTCTTCATGGTCCTTCCTTTCTTCATGGTCCTTCATTTCTTCAGGGTCCTTCCTTTCTTCATGGTCCTTCCTTTCTTCATGGTCCTTCCTTTCTTCAGGGTCCTTCCGTTCTTCATGGTCCTTCCTTTCTTCATGGTCCTTCCGTTCTTCATGGTCCTTCCTTTCTTCTTGGTCCTTCCTTTCTTCATGGTCCTTCCTTTCTTCATGGTCCTTCCTTTCTTCAGGGTCCTTCCTTTCTTTATGGTCCTTCCTTTCTTCAGGGTCCTTCCTTTCTTCAGGGTCCTTGCCTTGATTGTAACGATCCGTAAGTTTTTTCATCCCTGTGTTTACCACATACCCAATGCCCCAGCCCAGGGGGATTAACATGGGAACAAGTCCAAACATGATTTTTCTGTGCAACTGTCACTCTGTAAAAAACGGTCTTGATCTGGCTGATGCTTTCAGATTCAATCATTTAAGCATCAGAACCTCTTTGATCTATTGTGATGTAAATAATGTCATCTATGACCTCATCAGTGACCTCACTGGACTTCTGGTGCAACATCTTGCTTCTGATCAGTTTCCATAGCAACAATCAGATCAGTTCTGCATAACTCAAGCTGACATAAATACTTAAAGTAATATATTTTAATTTATTTAACATGAGATTAATGGATTTGTTTGTGATTTAATTTTTTTTTGGCTATCCTATTATTTTTATTATTATCTCTATAATTGATATTCATGTATGTATTATTTATTACACAGTGCTCGGAACAGTCTGACTTATTAAATGCACTTTATATATATATATATATATATATATATATATATATATATATATATATATATATATTATATTTATATATATATATATATATATATATATATATATATATATATATATATATATTATATTTATATATATATATATATATATATATATATATATATATATATATATATATATATATATATATATATATATGTTCAAACATATTTTATATAAATACATGTTGATATATTTATATAAAATATTTTATATTTTGTTTTATATATGTGTGTGTGTGCATGTGTATTTAGATAGATAGATAGATAGATAGATAGATAGATAGATAGATAGATAGATAGATAGATAGATAGATAGATAGATAGATAGATAGATAGATAGATAGATAGATAGATAGATAGATAGATAGATAGAGAGAGAGAGAGACAGACAGACAGACAGACAGACAGACAGACAGACAGACAGACAGACAGACAGACAGACAGACAGACAGACAGACAGACAGACAGACAGACAGACAGACAGACAGACAGATATAGCCTACATATGAATTTCATATGTAGCTATATCTATCAGGGTCCTTCCTTTCTTCAGGGTCCTTCCTTTCTTCATGGTCCTTCCTTTCTTCAGGGTCCTTCCTTTCTTCAGGGTCCTTCCTTTCTTCAGGGTCTTTCCTTTCTTCATGGTCCTTCCTTTCTTCAGGGTCCTTCCTTTCTTCAGGGTCCTTCCTTTCTTCAGGGTCCTTCCGTTCTTCATGGTCCTTCCTTTCTTCAGGGTCCTTCCTTTCTTCAGTGTCCTTCCTTTCTTCAGGGTCCTTCCTTTCTTCAGGGTCCTTCTTTTCTTCATGTCCTTCCTTTCTTCATGGTCC